TCCCCGGTGGTGACACGTCCTGATTACCTCAAGGGCCCAAGGGTTGCGAACGCATTATTCAGCGACTATTCGCTGTCATCCAATATTCAAGAGGGGAAAACACACAGACACTGTTAATCGTCGATTCCTCAGAACATATGGGAAAAGGTGGGAGGTGGGGGGAAGACACAAACCCAAAAAATATGGGAATATATGGGGAATCCTGCTATGTGTGTGTATTTATTTGTGTGTTCCAGGGCCTCTTCAAAAATGGGTGGCGCAATGAAACACACGAAGCGAACGCCTCAGCCCGTGTGCAGGAATAAGCTATTGTGGTATCTACATACACGACCACGGTGAGCATCAGATTGACACGTGGTCGTGGAATGGGGGAATGGGGAGGGGGGAGAGAAAATGGGGAACGGGGAAAATGGGTGAGGTGGGGGAGGAAAGAGATGCCAGGGCTGCATCTATTCCGATCCCAAAGCGCCCGTCGCCGGCACTCCACACGACAGCCTTCTGCCAAGCCCCACATCGACAGGCTGATTGCCTCGTACCCACAGGCGCAGCCAATCTCAGCCTTTCCTCCTCCCTGCCTTGCCCCTCCTGCTGCCTTTGACCCTTGCCTGGCAAGTCGTGCTGGCCTCACCCCCCGTCGTGCCATACCGTCTTCATCTATCTAGGTCTAGCTCGCCTTCCAGGGGCAGCGTTAGGGAGGGTAGGCTCTAGGGGGGATGCATCGACCCCGCATCGCACAATTATCGCCGATAGTGGCTCGATAGCCCCATCCCACCCAGGAGCGTGCGGATTCGCTGTCAAGGGCCCATCGCCGATCTGTCGGCGATGTGTCGCCGATTCCAGCTTGATGTTTTCCCCATTGAGCCTCTGCTCCCCCTTTCGTTGCCCCTCAGCCTTTATCATGGTGAAGAGCATGGGCAGGTTTCGTCAGGCTCGTTCGGCAGGCTTTCCAAGAGTCCGCCACGGGGCCCGTCTCACGCTCCCCAGCCGCGGTGCAGCCCCGAACCGCGCAAACTCGGTGCCAGCGGCGCCAAAGGATTCCCAGGCAGAGGGGGAGGGGACAGGGATACACACACACACACCCACACACACACAAAACACACACACAACACACAACATACAACACACAGCACACACAAACACACACACACACACGCACACGCACACGCATACGCACAGACGCACAGACGCACAGACGCACAGACGCACAGACGCACAGACGCACAGACGCACAGACACACAGACGCACAGACACACAGGCGCACAGACGCACAGACGCACAGACGCACAGACGCACAGACGCACAGACGCACAGACGCACAGACGCACAGACGCACAGACGCACAGACGCACAGAGACACAGACACACAGACACACACACACAGACACACAGACACAGACAGACACAGACACAGACACAGACACACACAGACACAGACACAGACACAGACACACACACACACAGACACACACACAGACACACACAGACACACACACAGACACACACAGACACACACAGACACACACAGACACACACACAGACACACACACACACAGACACACACACAGACACACACAGACAGACACACACAGACACACACAGAGACACACACAGACACACAGACACACATACAGACACACACAGACACACACACACACACACACGAGTCATACGCCAAAGGCGCGTGGACGCTGACAGTGCTGTAGAAATGCTGTGCTTCCTCACATCGGGGAACGAATAATAACATAAACATGCAAACTCGGAGGTCCGCGCGGATTTCTCGGATCCGCGTCGACCTCAGAGTTTTTATGTTTATGTAATTCTTCGTTTCCCTATCACATTCGCCGATCACGCACGAGGTCAGAATTCAGGTTGGCACGAAGTTGGCACGAAAGGCTTCCCCCTGCACCATGATCGTCCACTCGTTGCGCGGCCACCCACTGGGGGGCAGGGGGGGAGGGGAGATCGGAGAAAAAAGGCCTCCTCCTCCTCCTTCTCCTCCACCTCCTCCTCCTCCTCCTCCTCCTCCTCCTCCTCCTCCTCCTCCTCCTCCTCCCCTCCCCCTCCCCCTCCCCCTCCCCCTCCCCCTCCTCCCCCGCGACATCAACATGAACTTGCGGTGCTCCGCGCGGATTCCTTGGCTCGTCGCTGGGCCATCCCCCGGGCGGCGCCTCCGGCGCGGGGGGGTCCAGCGCAGATCCAAGAACTCCGCGCGGACGTCCATTCGGGCCGGGCGAAAGGGGGGGGATTGGGAAAGGGGGGGTTACGAAATTTGCTGCATGCAGCTGATTTCGGCCTCACCGAGGGGCCCATTCCTCGATACATAGTCGCCTCCTTCGCCGGGAGGCGCCGGGAAAATCAGCTACGTGAGCTGATTCTCAACCCCCCCCTTTGCTATCCCCCCCTTCCGCCCGACCCGATCCATACAGTGGAAACCAGTTCCCAAAAACAACCTGCTTGCCTCCAGGGTGCCCTGTTTTTTTTTTTTTGGTTTCGATGGTCTTGCTAGGGAAAGCGTGACCTTCCCACATCGGAAGTCAATGGACGTCCTGGGGTCTCAGGGTTGGGTTTCCTGTGTTTTTTTCTAGTGGTCGAGCTCCTACTGTACGTTCATGTTTCTTCCTCTAAGAGGGGGGTGGGGGTGGGAGGGGAGGGAGGGGAGAGGCACGGGAAACCGCTGCACTGGGGAGGCGGGAATGGAAGGAGGGGGGGAGCGGAGGGGAACAGGGGAGGAGAAAGGACAAACATGTAGGGTGAGGGTGCGATAGGGGGCTCCGGCAGGTTCGCGCCGAAGTCACGCGGCGGCGACCCCAGCGCAGGCGTTCAAGGTTGAACGCCGTTGGTGGCCCGGATGGCTGAACGCTGCTAGTGGCCCAGGACAGGCGGATATCAAACGATCTGTGCTATCCGAGAGCGGCGATCGTCTAAGGTTGAACGGTCCACGCGGTGCCAAGCATCAATGCCGACGTCATCGCGCTGTGAACCTGCAGTCGGGCGGCGAGACACAGTAGTTTGCCAGGCCAGACTCTCCCCGGGCCCCAGGCCGAATCTCCCGCGGGCGTCTTCGTTTCGGTCGAATCGGCCACGCCGCAGTCGGTGGAAGTTTGGCTGGCTCGGTCTGGCAGGTCGATGCATCATTGCTGCGACGCCGCGTCCTCCTCAGTTGCGTTCGCTCGGTACGGTTTCGGTCGGTTTCGGTTTCGTCGTCGTCTCGGTCGGTGTTCGGTCGTGCCGCCGCCGCGGACGGCCCTGCTGCCGCATCGCAGGAATCCGATGCCCGCCCAACCTCCGCCCGCTGCAGAGGTCAGCCACGACGAGTTCGAGGCGGCCAGGAAGGTGTGCCGCCTGGCCTCCCTTGGCTCGCGGGCCCCCCGCCTTACAAGTAGGTGATATCTGTGAGTTGGCTCATCATTTACATTTCGCGCCTGCTCATCTTACGCTACTCACGGCCTCCTTGCACAGCTATCCCAGTACCGTTTATAGACCAATAGTCCCAGTCGATTGCCCAGCTTACACTTTACGCGGTTCCTTCCAATCTTCATGTTTGCGTCATCTCGCAAACCAGTTTCTCAGACACGCGCCGAGGTTTTCCCGCTCAGCGATAGGGCTGACTTCGCACTCTTACCACTGCCCAACAGCGTAACACCCACACTTAACGACTGTGCCAATTCATGTTTGTTGTGCTTCGCATCTTGGTTTTGGTGAGGCGTTAGTTGCAATGTCTTTTCTGCGGCCAGTCTGGCCCTCTGGCAGGGGACTCCCCACTGAGGGACATCCCACTGCGGAGTGGCGTCAGCATTCACCGCAACACACATGCTACCGCCCACACGCTGCCACTACAGTTTCTTGCTCTTTCGGTGTCCTCCATGTGGTTTATTAGGTCATGCTACCAGTGTGATCCCCCTCCTCTTCCTCCTCCTCCTTTTAACATTGGTTGTCTTCTTAGTTACTCCAAGTCCTTGGTGGGTTCGCCTGTTTTACCAGTCATCGTTGCCTTTCCGTTTTCAGCACTGGCCAGCAGCCGTATTGAAGCCACATCGCCGAAGTCGGACATATCCGTCCGTGCTTTAGTCCGCGCAACGTCTACGTGAAGCGGGAAAACGTGAGTAAGATAGAGAAAATGAGAGAGAGGGAGAGAGAGAGCGAGGACAGCAAATCACACACACCCATTCACGCCACAGATAAGTCCATGTGCCGCCTTTATGGAATGCCTCTTCAGGCGTTGTTGGGAATATACCCGAGGTTTTTCGAGGACATTGGGCGCTTCTCAGGGGAATCCTCGGCCTCTCATGAACTTTGTTCGCCGCGTTTGGGCGCCTGTTGTGTGTATGTCGGTTTGTGCGTGTGTGCGTGCGCGCGTGTGCGTGTATGTATATGCATATATATATATATATATATAGAGTGTGTGTACGTGTGTGCGTGCGTGCGTGTGTGTGTGTGTGTGTGTTTATGTGTGTATGTCTGCCGGGCGTGTACCAACTTCCTGCTCGATGAGGATTGCCCCCCCCCCCCCCCCTCCCCGGGGTTGCATCCGATAAGACCAGGCCCCCTCGGGGTTGGACCCCCGCCGCTTCTATTGCCCCTGGCAGTGTCCTGATGAGGCCGACCAGGCCCGACGGGCGTGAGGCTCTCCCCCGCAGCCTCGTCGAGCTTCTCATTCCGATGACCGGCGACGACGATCCCATCCACACCCGCACGCCCATCCCTGCCCGCGCGACCTCCGACCACAGGTTCGGCCCCGAACTCGGCTCCATCACGTTCCACTGCGACTTCTGCGACAGCGGCCACTTCAGCGCCTAGCGCTGTCGGCGGCGGCGACCCAATCGGCTCGTTCATCTTCAGCGCCGGCTCTGGTCGGGACCTGCTGCTCCTGTTCGGTGGCCTCCCCGCTGGTCTGAGCTGGGCTCGGCCCTGAAGGGCATGGGGTACAATCTCGCGTGGGCCTGCGCTCGCTGCTGCGCCGCGCTGTGGCGCCTGACGCCCTCCGAGGTTCAGCACGTCC